TAAGATGCTGTTGTTCGGCTGGTCCACAAATGCGAAGTCGTAAGGTTAGTGCTGGCCCTTCGGTTGTTCTATAGTGCTGAGGTATCCGAGATTTGAGCCACGGACGAAATCAACTCGCTGCTATTCCACAGACCCTCAAATATGTTTCCAACGATGACATCATAATGTATTTCAATGGTTTTAATTGTTTTCCTTGCTTTCGCTCCGCAGTAGTGAAGCAAATAAAACAAACGTTTGGCATCGTGTTCTATCTTTGACTAAATAAATTCCAGTAGGTTCAGTGATTAAGTGACTAGTAGAAAACGTGCCTCAGGTTCAGGCAAACTATATACCAGGATTGGTAATCTACGTGTCCTAGAGAAACAGAGAGACAATAAGGCAAACATTTTGTTTAACGACTGTTATGAGGCCACCAAATTTACCGAGTACAATCGGCCGAAAAACGGAAAGTGAAGCATTGGGTATAGAAGTCCTACAAAACGACTACGCCAAGAATTGCGGAACGGTACACTTTGAAGGCCATTCAAACGGGAGGAAAGTCCTATGAAAGTCATATGGAAACACAAATAACTATCATTCAGGTAGGCCTTGGGATGCGAATTTCATCTCTGGATGAATAAGGTTTTTAAAATAGCACGGTAAAGCAGACAAGTTTCGATGGACAGGTACACCCACAAGCTGAAGATGTTAAGGTGTAATAACGGGCATAAGGGAACAGAGAAAAGTGTCACAGAATTCGAGATTAGGTCAAAAGGTCATCAGACAATAAGATGCTTAGGGTTGGGAGCGATAGACTGACAAAACTTATATCCGGCCTTTGCCATTTCAATCAAATGAGTACGCATTGTTTACCCTTCGTTGTCGATAAAAACACATTTGAAAGGAGAAATTTAGTATATCATATCAAGCTTGGGTTAGCCCATTCGATTGTTCAGATGCACCAGGCGCTCTTGAATGGCTGATCACATTAACTGGACGATTTTGGAAACTTATACCAACAACTGAAACCGTTGGCTCCGTCATCAAAAGACGCAGAATGCTGGATAAAAGCTAAGCTGGTGGATCTAGAACGACACAATAGCATAGTTACTTGCTAAGTTCTCTACTAACAATGGAACACTTGGTGGCATTGAAGTAACTGAAACGCATGAAGAAACTTATTATTCTACACCCTGACAAAGTAATTTTTGCAATGTTATTAGACCGAAAAAAATATGTGCCCAAAATAGAACCTATTCTTAGTGAGTCTACCAGAACTTCCCCGCGATGATCCAAAAAACGTGGAGCAGAATAGCACACATACAAGTTGGTATCATGGCCATAGAAGCCCTTTGGGGTCAGTGCTGGTGGACTTATTCATGGAATATTTGGAATCCTGAGCTCGGCGATTATTGAAAATATCTACGTTATACGGAAGGTAATGCCGATGATATTCGGATTGTCATTGATAACTTAAGAGAAGTCAGAAACATGAGTTTGCACAAAGTTTCCACTACCATTTCCCTGCATCTATTCACACGTATACTGCAGTCTAAGTAATTGTATAGTCATTGAGATAACAACCGCGAGACGAAGACAAGAACACTAATCATATTGGATAACACGACACAACAAAACAGAAAAGTCGAGAGAAGTTAGGGGCCAATCACTAATGCAGCGTTAATGTGATCAACCATTCAAGAGTACTTTGTGGCTCTGAACAATCGAATGGGCTAATCCAATCTTGATAATCTATAGTAAATTTCACCACGTGGTCCAGTGCTCTGTGTCGGTTATCACGAACATTTTCATCGCATTGAAAGAGAATGACAGATTCAACTTAGGTCACAAGGTATGACGCGGTTTTTGACTTGTTGTGAATCAGTTGTAGCTGGCTAATTTGCGTCACGAGGTTTGATTACGAAAATTTGTTTCTTCGTTTGAAATGTTCATATTTCAATTAATTGTGGTCACATGGTAACACCAGAAGGAATTAGGAAGTACCTCATAATGATATCTAAAACTTAAGTAACGTTTGTTAGATCATCAGCTCATATGACTTCAGTATTACCATGTCTAGTTAACTAATGATTTCTTCATCTGCCATTTCACTGTGCAATTATGCGGGTAGTGTTTATTTCGGACCAGTCTCTAAGACCACGATCTCTCGATTAACTAATAAGAGTGATATAATCAATGAAATGCGGTTTAATTGTGTTGATTATTACTTTTATTTATGGTGATAGTTCCAAATGTTCCTCATGCTACCATGGACAGAATTCTGTTGCATTTCTTAGCCTGATAGAAAGTGGAACCACGGTTTAGTTGTGGGAACTGGCTTCCGGGCATTGTGAACAAGAGAAGGCTTTAGTGTGATACAGAAAGCATGCGCTAATTTTGCGATTGGTCGATCGATAGTATCCATAAACAACACGATGTAGTGTTTAATATACCTACAGTGACCATAACTGACGTCATGGTCGTCTGACTGAACAACTGGCACATACGTTGAATCAAATATAATGAAGTGAACAAGATTTATCATCAACTATTCGTCTTATGCTATTTGCAAACAAGTTTTATTATCTTAATGTGCTATTTGATTCGTTTATATGGTAAATTTCGTGACTTTCATAGCAAAAGAAAGCGTGAAATGAACAACCACTTGACAATCACTGCTCACATATGCTTACTCACAATGGTATTACGAAACCACCTATCGTGATCCGGGAAATGAACACTGGGGAGACACGAAAAAATTTACGTTTAGAAAAACATGTGCCATTTGGGTCCAGTAATCAGAGTAAATGCCCACGTATGGGAGTATTTCCGCTGTGATTTCTGCCCACAAAATGACATTCCTTCGCTAAAACGGCAATAAACTCTCCTTAGCTAGGATTTTTCTTTCAGCAATCTCAGGATTTTGCCGCGACTGTAATTAAGCTTTACAAAGATAAATAAAAAAATTGTGCAAAGGTGGAAGCCGGTGTGTATTTGCTAACAATCAGTTACAAGAGAAACTGCTAATGAAACTGGTCACATGAATAAAGAGATGTAGCTTTCATTCAGTAAAATGCAATTACTTTGATATTCTACCCCAGATTCTATCTGCTGATTTTGATGAAGGCGATTCCAGCTTTCTGCTAACCGTGCAACTGGAAAACCCACTTGCATCTCAATCGTACAGACCGGCTCAGTCGTCCGTAGAAAGACCACGAACAGTGGCGAAGAAAACGGATAAAGAGGATAAGTTCAAAGAACCATCTGAACCGCCACAACCTGTTCCTTCTCTTCCGGAAGTCACTAGTTCACAGAAATCACTGTCAAAAAATGAGGAAAAATCAGAGGCTGTGAGTTTATGTGTTGGTTGTCGATAATAGTCACATGAAATACCTAATTAGTTATCATTCAGTATTCAGCTACACAGGAGTTCAAATAACAAATTTTTTTGATTGAAAAGGTAAATGGATATATCAGAGTTTTTCAGCTTATGAGTACCTTTCTCAAGATATGTGTAACTTCGTTCATCTCATGAGTGATTAGTGACCGAATAGAACTGAAAGTGAAAGAGACTGTAGGTTTTACTGCGGTATTCTAATTAAAGGATTTTAATTATCAGTACCATTTGATCTTAAAACTTATGTGGAATGATTTTATGTGTAGTGTTAATAATAAGTGTATAAAAATGGAATAGCTGTAGATATTGGAGCCTATAAATAAACTTTAAGTATCGTTTCGATCTTATCGAGAAAAGATTTTAGTAAATTGTCTTATAAAAGCCTATTTTTTCAAAAATCCATATTGGTTTTCATATGATCAGAAACCAACACCATCCACTCCAATAAAATCAGCTGAAACATCGACTGACTGCAAACATTCAGAAACCACTGATGACAGCGATCCGGCGTGGGAGATAGTGGAAGATTCGGTGAGTATTGTTCTACCATTATTATTGCATTTTCATGCAGAATAATGTTGAAATAAATAAATATATGTCTATAACAAATTTGTCAAGTCTAATTCTAATGTGACCTGCCGGAATGCACACACCTACGTGATTCCACACACGTGGTGTCACGCGACAGTCCTATCGATTTGAATCTAGAATAATGAATGTAACGTGATTATCGTTGGTGGAGTCTGTTGGTTGTTACGATTGATGATTAGGTAATGAAATTACCAATCCAATTGCAGCACTAAGTAGGTATATAATAGGTGGCAGCAAAGCAGTGTGATTGGATTTCCAAGACTTCATTGCTATGTTTCCGGGAGACGATATGTCTGCGTGGAGCTTTGGTGGTGGCCCGGGGGGCTTTCCANCCGCCACTACCACCACCACCACCACCACCTCACCCGGAAATGGGGTTCGGAGGTTTTCCCGGTTCTTTTCAGGATTCGGGCCCTTATTCTGAACTAGTAGGAGGCGGATATGCATCACATGTTGGATTTGGAACAGGGATGCCAATGGGATCCGGTTACACACCTGGTTTGGCAAACCCTTCCGACGGTTTCCAGTCTTACCCTGGTGTAACTGACCCATTTATGGGACCTTCAGGAGAAAATTTTCCGGGATGTGGGCAACCGAACTGTTCATTTGATTCGGGGAGTACACCTAATCCAATTCTGCCTCCAGCACCTCCGAGTTTTGGGAACACTGGTTACCAACCTGGAGCACCGTCAAACCGAAGTTCTTTTCCCTCTGGCAATACCGAGCCGCAATCAGATATGAAGTTCCCAACCCCAAATGCTGGAGCAGCATTGGGTATTGCAGAAAACAGTTTAGCAACTAATAGTAACGCTTATGCTCGTGACTCAATTGCGGAAGCCATAGGAGGCTTCACTCCATTAAAGCCACACGAAGACATTGTAAGTTATGTATACAGTGCTTCAGTAATGGGCAATGCTTTAGATAATCATCCAGGTCTCTTTGTACTAACCGTTTTATTTCTTAACCTTAACATTTTTCTATGTGCTGTTCGTAATCCAGACAGACGCTAATGATTTGGGGGTAAGTATATCTTAAGTATTGAAGTTTACTGTAGAAGGAATTCAACTTCAAACATGTTACACCTACACGTCAAAAGCTCCTAAAACTCGAGCAAACAGATCTCAGCATAACTTGATTTCATCAATTGGCATTGGTTAAATTGTAGTTTCGTGGATTCATGGTACCGCACCAAAGGTCATAGTTGTATCAACAGAGAGGTCACAATACATCCATGTGAACAAAGCATTTCCATTTGTCCCCGACAGAATATTTATTTTACCGTTGTCTTTCGTAAAATCATTTCAAAATGTGGAGTTAAAGAATTATAAGCACACAATAATATTATTATTATTTTCTGGAAGTTTATTGCATTTAATCCCTGAATATTTTATCTCTCATTTTACGTTTAATAAAAGGGTGTACAGTGTAACTACAAATGACTTATATTCGAATTATCGGATTACATACAACTTTATCCGCATGTGTTAGTGAAATAATCGTGGCTTTTACCGAGGACATCAATCTCGAGCGGTGAAACTTTGCCCACGATCACTGTAACTTGTTTAGTTTAGATTAATCGGAAAACGACGATCACATAACCTACAATAACTGGGTTCACAAATTCTATTAATTATTTCTTCTGTTACAGTATGCACCCACTTTGAAACCCTTCCCAAACTTTAATGCTTTCGAAGACTGTGAGCGACTGAAAAAAGCCATGAAAGGTTTGGGAACGGATGAAAAAACAATAATCGATATTATGGGCCATCGCTCAGTTGAACAACGAACTAAAATTGTACTGCAGTTCAAGACCATGTATGGAAAGGATTTGATAAAAGAATTCAAATCGGAGTTGAGTGGTCACTTCTCCGAATGCGTGGAAGCTTTGTGCTACAGTCCTGAGGATTTCGATGCTATGCAACTGAGGAAGGCCGTAAAAGGTGCTGGAACGGATGAAGATGCACTGATTGAAATTCTTTGCTCACGGACAAACGAGCAAATTCGCAAGGTCAAAGAGGCTTACAAAAGAAGTACGATTCATTTTTCTTTATTGCCATTTTTCGATACAATCGTTTGAGTTGTAGACAACGGTATAGCAAGTTAACGGTGTTGCTCAAATGCCATTCCTGAAACATTCAAAACTGGTTGAGTTTCAACTTTAGAATCATATTCCTCGCACACACAGCTTAGCGAAGAGCCTGTTCGGTGCCATTACCAAGGCGCATGCGGTGTACAGATCAGTATATTTCAGATGATTAAAATAGTTATTTTTTATTGAGTGATTATCTGTGTACATGCTATTTTGTTCTGAAATTGGACCACTGCAAACTCGTCACTGTATGATTATCGATGATAAAATGGGATTGTGAGATAGCTGTGCAGCTTTTGATGGTTTTCAAAACACAAATTGTTGCAGTGAAAGCGCATTAGCGATTATAACAAAGTGGCAAAAAAGGATAATTGCCGCTCGAATGAACATGTTCATACATCATCTGGGACAATCGAAAGAACACAACAGGGGCTGAGTTATTTGTTATCTATTTAAACAGTTATTCTATATATTGATCTATAAATACGTGTACGATAAGTTCAAATGAACTACTCACTGGGTCGAACAATGTCAACTTACAAATGATGCCGTGGAGAGGAATGGATAAAGTAAAAATTTGTGTGAAAAGGTGTAGCAATAAAAGTAGAAGAAAAACGAACCGAATAATAGAAACTGCTTCTTATCTTTAATTCGATCAGAGTCTAGCTTCTATCGTCTAATCTTTGAGGAGTGCAACACGGAATTGAAATTAATATTCACAAACCTACTACTCAAATATTCACAGTAGTCAAAGTGTGAATGATATAAGTTTAAAATATTGTTCGAAGGATTCGGTGCTTATATTTGTTAGCTGATTCACAATAAGTTTCATGTTGTACTCGGTGAGCTGAGAGCCACGCTGTTGACATTATTTGAACCAAAATGCTCACACTGGAAAGCAGATGAATGTCGAATTATTCTGAAAAANAATTATTCTGAAAAATGGGAGGAAATCAATTCAGTTACAATATATTTTGTTACATGCTCAATGCTTGGTGCTTTATTTGATGTAAAAAGCAGAAAATTGTTTCCATTGGTTTTTTTTTACTCGTAGCTGATCAAGATAATTGCAACTTTGTTTGTTCTAAGTTTAAGCAGGGCAGACTACGGAATTATTTCTTTCTAAAGTAATATAAAGGCGAGTTATCGTCATATGGACAACGGCACTATGTATTTAGTAGTTTGTCCGTATTCAATAAGGAATGTTTTGAGAGAACGAGAAGAATGCGAAAGCTTTGCTAACTCATTCACGATTTTCCCTTAATTTTATTTATAATCACTGGAGGAGGTGGTTTTCTTCTGAACATGGGCTTTGCATTATTCACAAAATTAAAATAGTCCAGTAAATACGAGCATTTGGTAAATGATTTATTGTTTGAGTGATCTGCTTCCTTCTTAGCAGAGGCGACTGACCTAACCCAGTTGAATGAAAAAAATGGAACGAATACTTTTGTTGCATTGATCTGTGGAATTTTTTCACTCCTACAAAATGCTTTATCCAGGGCCAAACGCGGCTAATAAATGAAAAGCTTTGAACTATCAGCATAGGATTTTATTGCTCTCCACTTATCCTGGCCCCAAACTGATCACCAACACTCCAATAACGATTGACCTCAAGCAAAAACGGAAACAAGGCTCATCCCTCCCGTCTTCCATTCCAGAATGATTCAATAACCCAGCGGGAAGAGGTGATCCCAGTAACAACAAACCGTTGGTGATAGGCAGCTCCGCTGTCAGCCGGTTCAGCACCACGCCTAACCTATCGGGGCCTAATGTGGTTCACCACTCCAAGTCCCGTGGCTTAGATTGCCGGTTTCCAGGACTATGGGGTTCTCCTCATCCACTGTTCATCACACTTAGGTGTGTAATAAAAAAAATTATGTGATGTGTACCGGCGAGATAATGAATCATTCGAAAAAGTTTTTGGTTTTCTGACTTGCGTTTTAATGTTCTAGTGGATTTATTCTGGTAAATAATGTCAGGTTTTCGGAGTTATCATCTGTCGAATTCACTGAAATTAGAGACGTGTATTATACCAGATGCCCCCAAACCAATGCATTTCACACAACTCTCGCACTACCTACCCCATCCCAGTGCACGACCGAGACTTGGAAAAGGACGTTATTAATGACACATCAAGATATTTCAAGCGGATTTTAGTCAGTCTACTCCAGGCAAATAGAGATGAAAGCACCACAGTGGATCGTGAAGCTGCTCGGCGGGATGCCGAAGAGTTGTACAAAGCTGGCGAGAAGAGGCTCGGAACCGATGAATCAAAGTGAGAAAGTTTGCTCCTTTTTTTGAAAAGTTTGTATTTCATCAAAGTGAAATTTTACATATTTGTTGAGTTGATTTATGACAAGAGGTGCAGTATCGCCATAATTTTTCCTATCTCATCAAGCCAAAAATACCAATACTCCAATGCATTTGTTGTTCTGTGTGCAAAAAACATTCATTTGTTTGAAATAAATCAAACTATCATGATAAATTTCAGTTCACCCATTGCATGGCCCAACCAAACTGATGCTCTTGCAAAGCATTAACGAGTGTCATATTACAAGAAACGAAAACATGAACGCCTACCGGTGAAGTCGAACATCGGTGATAAGGTTCACATTTAGATCCCTAAACTTTTATCAAGTGGTGACAGAGTCGATAATGGCTGCTTCAATTACCATATCAAGCAACAAAGTGTACACTAGTTCACTAGATTCAGTGGAAATTTTCTCGTTACATTCAATTTACGGGCTCCTAAAGATGAATAAATGAGTTTGTTGATCTATAATGTGGAAACGGCAGCTTACAATTACAATACCAAATTATAGTCACAAAAATAACGTCAATTCCTACTTCTTTGCATACCCTCAGGTTCATTATGATCTTGGGATCGAAATCCTTTGCACATCTTCGTGTAGTGTTTGAAGAATACGGAAAAGTGAGCAAGAATGATATCGAAAAGGCTCTCAAATCCGAGATGAGCGGTGATTTACTCAAATCAATGTTATCCATCGGTATGTCGCTTCATTTCTTTACGATAAAAATGAAATGCCACCTATTAATTAGCTGTCTTTGAACACCTGGTGGCTTTATGGCAACGTAAATATGACTTGAGTTGTTTCTAACGTGTTTTCGTCAGTTTAAAATTCATACACTTATAATTTGTGTGTGAGATAAAGAGAGGGAGAGGATTTTCAGATGCTAGCTAAATAATAATATAATAGATTTTTTCAACGATGGTTTTAATCTCCCAATGTCCATAAGATGTAATCCAACAGTATGCAAATATGAGAATTGCTATTACGAGAACAAGCCAGTTCTCTGGGTAGTTCATTGGATGTAACCATTTTCCCTGAACGTGTAAAAGCAGCGAAGATATGATTTATTTTGGAGCGATTGTGTAGTGAAATTATTTACTCGGACGATTAAGGGCTGTGCACTTCTTAATTTCGGGGCATAAATGATACAAAATGTCCCCATGAACAAAGTGGCCTCTCGTGGTTTTGTATTCTTCTTTCCATCATATTTTGATTGGACAACAAGAAAACTGTCAACGGTGTATATGAATATTTTATCCATGAGTAGCATACACAATTCCGTATTAGTACTGTGTTCAACTTGTTCTTCTCTTCAGTTCGCTGTATCAAAAACAAACAAAAGTACTTTGCCTATCAGCTCTTGAAGTCCATGAAAGGATTGGGGACTAGAGATCGGACTTTGATTCGAATCATTGTTAGCCGCTGCGAAATCGATTTGGCTCGAATTAAGGAGGAATTCCAAAAGGATTATGGCAAAACTTTGGAACATTGGGTATCAGTAAGTAAATCAAAAATTTCAGATTTACCGTGGTGGTTGTACTTGCTAATTTGGTGGCTTACTGGTTCTGTGGACAGTGGCAATCACATTGCATAACGTCTTTGTGTTCCATGCCTTCGGCGTCATATTAGCGTGAAGAGAACGGTGACAAAGCTATTCGGTCCTACTTGGCTTTCACAGCTAAGTTGTGTGCCTTGAAAATATTAGAATCTTGTGAAAACGAGTATGTTACCTGCGGGCAAAATAATATCAACTTATGTGAATGTCTTTTATTGTCGTTCAGTGTCGTTTCTACAGCATAAATGAGACTGAATCAATGTATGATCTGAAATTTTCATGGGTGGAACTTCAGTGGCAAGCAAGTCTATGGGGTGAACATTTTGTGCATTTTCGATATAAAATGATGAAGAATCTGAATTTCAACAATTTCATCATGGGTCAATTACTATAAGGAAATGAGCATCTTAAAAAATTCACCGAAACACCTCGATTATGAATAACTGTAATCCATGAAGTTTGGAAAAACCCAGCGGT